AGGGGTGCGCCAAAATGGGGGGCGCCCCCATGCGAACTGCACCACTGGGACCGTAGGTGGAGCTCCCTATGGGGCCCCGAACCGTGTGAGGGGTGCGCCAAAATGGGGCGGCGCCGCCATGCGAACTGCACCACAGGGACCTCAGAAGGAACTCCCTATGGGGCCACGAACCGTGTGAGGGGTGTGCCAAAATGGAGCGGCGCCGCCATTCGAACTGCACCACTGGGACCTTAGATGGAGCTCCCTATGGGGCCACGAACCGTGTGAGGGGTGCGCAAAAATGGTGCGGCGCCGCCATGCGAACTGCACCACTGGGACCTTAGATGGAGCTCCCTACGGGGTCACGAACCGTGTGAGGGGTGCGCCAGAATGGGGCGGCGCCGCCATGCGAACTGCACCACTGGGACCTTGGGGGGGCTTCGTATGGGGGCACGAACCGTGTGAGGGGTGCGCCAAATTGAGGGTGACGAGAGGAGAGAGGAGGGGGAAGGAGGAGGAAGGAGGGGGAGGAGGAGGAGAGGAGGGACGCGGGCCACCGTCTCTTCAAAACGAGGACCCAACACCACAGGATGGTTGGGAACACATTATCCTAGCGAAGGGCCCAACCATATGCAAGTGCGAGTGCCGCCGGGCAGGCGGGACGCAGCAGGGGAAATTCCCGATGGGGCCACGAAACGTGTGAGGGGTGTGCCAAAGTGGGGCGGCGCCGCCATGCGAACTGCGCCACTGGGACCGTAGGTTGAGCTCCCTGTGGGGCCACGAAACGTGTGAGGGGTGTGCCAAAGTGGGGCGGCGCCACCATGCGAACTGCGCCACTGGGACCGTAGGTTGAGCTCCCTGTGGGGCCACGAAACGTGTGAGGGGTGTGCCAAAGTCGGGCGGCGCCGCCATGCGAACTGCGCCACTGGGACCGTAGGTTGAGCTCCCTGTGGGGCCACGAAACGTGTGAGGGGTGTGCCAAAGTGGGGCGGCGCCGCCATGCGAACTGCGCCACTGGGACCGTAGGTTGAGCTCCCTGTGGGGCCACGAAACGTGTGAGGGGTGTGCCAAAGTGGGGCGGCGCCGCCATGCGAACTGCGCCACTGGGACCGTAGGTTGAGCTCCCTGTGGGGCCACGAAACGTGTGAGGGGTGTGCCAAAGTGGGGCGGCGCCGCCATGCGAACTGCGCCACTGGGACCGTAGGTTGAGCTCCCTGTGGGGCCACGAAACGTGTGAGGGGTGTGCCAAAGTGGGGCGGCGCCGCCATGCGAACTGCCCCACTGGGGCCTTAGGTGGAGCTCCCTATGGGGCCACGAAACGTGTGAGGGGTGTGTCATGATGATGACGATGGGAGGGGGGAGGAAGGAGGGGGAGGAGGAGGAGCGGAGGGACGCGGGCCACCGTCTCTTCAAAACGAGGACCCAACACCACAGGATGGTTGGGAAAAAAACAAAACAAAAAAAACATCATCGTCATGGCGCGCCCATTGTGGTTGCGTTTTTATTCCCAACCATCATGTGGTGTTGGGTCTCCGTTTTGAAGAGACAGCGCCCCGCGTACCACTCCTCCTCCTCTCCTCACCCCCTCCTCCCTCTTCCCATCCTCATCATCATCATCACTTCCGTCGTCGTCGTCGTCGTCGTCGGCATCGGCATCGTCATCTTCGATCGTGATCGTGATCGTGATCGTCGTCGTCATCATCGCCCTCATCATCGCCACCATCATCGCCACCAGCTTCGGCATCAGCTTCGGCACACCTCTCGCAAGTTTCGTGGCCCCATAGGGAGCTCCATCTGAGGTCCTAGTGGCGCAGTTCGCATGGCGGCGCCGCCCCTTTTTGGCACGCCCCTTTCATGTTTCGTGGCCCCACGGGGAGCTCCACCTAAGGTCCCAGTGGCGCAGTTCGCATGCCGGCGCCGCCTCATTTTGGAACGCACCTCACACGTTTGTTTCGTGGCCCCACAAGGAGCTCTATATAAGGCCACAGTGGCGCAGTTCGCATGGCGGCGCCGCCCCACTTTGGCACGCCCCTCACACGTTTCGTGGCTCCTCAGGGAGCTGCACCAACGGTCCCATCGGTGCATTTCGCATTGCGCCGCCGCTTCATTTTGGCACACCCCTCACAGGTTTCGTGGCCCCATAGGGAGCTCCATCTAAGGTCCCATTGGCGCAGCTCGCATGGCGCCGCCGCCCCATTTCGGCACACCATTCACACGTTTTGTGGCCCCATAGGGAGCTCCATCTAAGGTCTCAGTAGCGCAATTCGCATGGCGGCGCCGCCCCACTTTGGCACGCGCCTCACACGTTTCGTGGCCCCACAGGGAGCTCCACCTAAGGCCCCAGCGGTGCAGTTCGCGTGGCGGCGCCGCTTCATTTTGGCGCACCCCTCACACGCTTCGTGGCCCCATAGGGATCTCCACCGAAGGCGCCAGCGGCTGCGTTCGCATGCTGTTCCGCCCCCCATTTCGGCACACCCCTCACGAGGATCGTGGCCCCATAGGGAGCTCCACCGAATGTCCCAGTGGCAGGGCTCGCATGGCGGCGCCGCCCCATTTCGGCACGCCCCTCACGAGGATCGTGGCCTCCACCGAAGGCGCCAGCGGCAGTGTTCGCATGGCGGCCTCGAGCCAGTTCGGCACACCCCTCGCGAGGATCGTGGCCACATAATTAGGGAGCTTCACCGAAGGCGCCAGTTGCAGGGTTCGCATGGCGGCCTCGGGCCATTTCGGCACACCCCTCACGAGGATCGTGGCCCCATAGGTAGCTCCACCGAAGGACCCCCGGTGGCAGGATTCGCACGGCGGCCGCGGGCCATTTCGGCACACCCCTCACACGCTTCGTGGCCCCATAGGTAACTCCACCGAAGGCCCCCAGTGGCAGGGTTCCCATGGCGGCCCCGGGCCATCTCGGCACACCCATCACGAGGATCGTGGCCCCATAGTTGTGCTGCTTCAACAACCGCGCCTGGGCGTCGTACTCCGCCGTCTCGACGTGCACCGACACTTTCTCCCTCATTGCTCTCAAAGCCCTTTCCTGCTTCTGATCCTCGGTCAGAGGGACGCCGTCCTTGTCGTCGTCGGCGCTCGCGAAGACGGCCACGAACGTGTTCCTGAACATGTCGGGCTCCGGCGGGAAGCCGTGGCCACATAGGGAGCGCGGGCGAAGATGGTATTCACAATTGCGGTATTCACAACTGCATATGGTTGGGTCCTTCGCCAGGCTAACGTTGGACAGTTTGCAACACCAATGTGTTTGATTGATGTCGAGATGTGTGCGCGGGTGCTGATTGTGCGCCATCTACGGCAAGGGATTGTTGAAACAGAATCTTCTGAGACAGGTGAGTGCGCGCGCATTATTTCGTTTGACGGATGACGGGGGGTGGTCCCGGTGTCCAGGTGGGATGGTATGAATTCATATGGACCATGAAAGACGAGGCAACATCATACGAAATTTGCGTTGTTTCGGGGGGGCGATAATTCTGGATTCGCCATTCTTTCCCAACCATGTTGTGGTGTCGGGCCCTCGTTTCGATGACGCAGCGCCCCGCGTTTTCATCCTCCTCCCGCCCCCTGTACTCCCTCCTCCCATCCCTGTCTCCTTCTCCATTTTGGCACATCCCTAACACGGTTCGTGGCCGCACAGGGAGCCCCACCGAAGGTCCCAGTGACAGGGTTCGCAAGGCGGCGCCACCCCAATTTGGTGCACCTCTCGCACGCTTCGTGGCCCCATAGGGAACCCCACCGAAGGCCCCAATGGCAGGGTTCGCATGGCGGCGCCGCCTTATTTTGGCACACTCCTCACACGCTTCGTGGCCCCATTGGGAGTTTCACCGAAGGCCCCAAAGGCAGTGTTCGCATGATGGCGCCGCCCCCTTTTTGAATTTTCTTCACACATTTCGTGGCCTCATAGGAAGCTCCACAAAAGGCCACAGTGGCAGGGTTCGCATGGCGGCGCCGCCCCGTTTCGGCACACTCCTCACACGTTTCGTGGTCCAATAGGGAGCTCCACCGCAGGTCCCAATGGCAGGGTTCGCATGGCGGTGCCGCCCCATTTTGGCACACACGCCCCTCTGCTTCCGTGGCGTCATAGGGAGCTCCACCGACGGTCCCAGCGGCAGGGTTCGCATGGCGGCGCCGCATACATTTCTGTACATTCCTGACACGCTCCGTGGCCCCATAGGGATCTCCACCGAAGGCGCCAGCGGCAGGGTTCGCATGGCGGCGCCGCCCCATTTTGGCACACCCCTCACACGTGTCGTTGTCCCAAAGGAGCTCCGCCGAAGGCCCCAGTGGCAGGGTTCGCATGGCGGCGCCGCCCCATCTTGGCACACCCCTCACACGTCCCAAGGGAGCTTCACCGAAGACGATACTCACGACTGCGGTACTCACAGCTACATATGATTGGGTTATTCGCCAGGCTAATTTCTTGACGCGGGAATTTGTTTGGTGCAAACTATGTGTAATATATGTGGTGTGAGCTTGAGGCGAAAGCCATGCGGCCATGCGGTGCTAGCTATGTGGTGTGCTGTATGCTGTGTGATCTGTGTGGTGCAAGCTGTGTCGCGTATCCTATATCTGGTGTAAGATATGTTGTGCACACTCGGCGCACGGGAGGCGGCAAAGGAGGCACCGGGGGGCGACCTCGGTCGACCACCCAGCGCACAAGGCGTCCACGAGAGCCCACGAGGCGGCACGGGACGTCAACGTGAAGCATTTGTTTTCCGACCCGTGCGATTACTTCACAAAAGTAGAAGCATTTGAGTGTAGGCATTGGTAGGGGAAAACGGCGCGCGAGTCGGAGGCCATTTTTCAGCTGAGAAAATCAGCTGGGCCTGGTGGTGAGTGGACCAACAATCACACCGACAGGAACAACAGCTCGAGGACAACGGAGTGGAAGAAGTGGGAGGGGGCGGGGACGGCAACGACCACCTTGACCATGAGGGGACCGCCACGACGACGACGACAACGACCACCACCACCACCACCACCACGGCAGCGGCGGCGGCCCAACCGCCCCAGAGGACTGCTACGCCGTCCTCGGCGTGCCGCCCACCGCCAGCCTGGCGGAAGTCAGGCTCGGGTGCGTGGGCATGCCTCTCCTCCTCCTGCTCCTCCTCTTTTGATCTTCCGCTCTTTTGTCGAGGAATGGTTGGCTGGCGGAGGAGGAGGAGGGCGCGGAGGAGGGGTAGCAGGAGAAGGAGGATGAGGAGGGCCCATCGTGCCGCCCGTTTCGCTTTCAGAGTGGTCGACTCGTGAAAAAGAATTGCAATGCAGGGGGAGTATGAGGAATTGGTCGAATGGTGAGGAGTTGGTTGATTGGTGAAGAAAGGGTGGACTGATGAGAAAGAGGCGGACGAGGAGGAAGAAGAGGGATGCGGACGGTGCGAGAGATTGCTCTTCCTCCTCGTGCCTCTCCTCCTTCCCCCTCCCTTTCCTTCACTAGCTCCTCCTCTCCTCCCCTGCTAGTGAAACCCGTTCTCTCCCCTCTCATCCTCACGCGTCCCTTCTTAATTCTCCCCCTTCGCAGTCATTTCCCCCTCCCCCTCTTATGCCCCCTCCCCTCCCTCTCGAGCCATTTCGGCTCCGGCGTTTTCCCCAGAGCCTCGGCAGGCCATGTCGACCTTCGGCACTCGGGACCCCTGCTCGAAGGCTGCGCACCAGACCTCGCAGTGCTTGATGCAGAAATGACGCCGCCGCGCGCAGGGACACCTGCCGCCAGCCCTCCAGCACCTCAGTCCCGTCTACCAAGGCGCCCTCAGCGGCGTCGTTCTCGAGGTCATGCTGCCGGGCATCTGCCTTCCAGTCCCTCCGGCATCCCTCTGGCATTGGGGTTTTCGGGTCCCGCCGCAACCGCCGCCTGGGCCAGCTCCCTCGGAGGACTGGCCCACATCGCGGAGCAGCTGCACTAGTGGGAGCCCGCTCTCCCATTTCCTCCCCTCAGCTTGGGGGAAAAACGAGTCCCGAGGGAAACGGGTCCTCGACCCTGGGGCCTTCCCCCAGCACGGGATCTTCATCCTGAGTCTTTTTCTGACAGTCCCGGAGCCCGTGCAAGGCCCCGAGAGCCCGAAAGACCCGTTTCCCTCGGGACCTGCTTCCCAAATGGCAGGTCGCGCAGCAGCGCCAACAGCCGCTGCCGCCGCCGCGCGACGTCCAGGCGCCGCGCGGGGTGGCGCCGACCGCCACGGCCGCCTCCCCTCCGGGTGCCACCAGAGGCCGCGGCGTGGGGCGGGCAGCCACGTGGCCGGGGCGCGGCCACGCCGCGGGCGCGGAGGAGCGGGGCGGGCTCCAGGATTGGGCGCGCGTGCGGAACGGTCCTCTTCTCGAAGAAGAAAAAGAAGAAGCATACACATAATAATTTTGACACCAACAACTAGAACAACAACAATAACAAGCACAATCTGCATAAGCATAAATGTTCGGCGGTCCGTGCGGATTTCTTGGGTCGCCCGCAGTCAGGCGCGGCCAGCCAGCCAGTTGCCGTGGGGAGCCTTGTCGAACTCTTGCGCCGACAAAAGCAAGCACTCGCCCGAGCATTTCTCGTTTCTCGGTGTCTCCTCATCCCTCTGCTCTCTGAGCCTCCTGTTCCTCTCTCCTGCCCTCCTCCTCCTCGCTCCCCTGTGTCCTCCTCGCTACTCCTACCCATCATCCCTCTTCATCCCCTCGCTCGACCCAGCTCCTCCTCGCTTCTCGCTCCTCCCCCGCCTCCTCCGCCTCCTCTTAGTCCGAGTGGCCTCAACAAGCTCCCAGGGCAGTCCAGGGCGATCGCAGCGCCTCACAGACCAGGGCGCTCTGCGCACTGGTGGCCGCCGATGGAGGCGACGCGGGGGGTATGGAGACCGCCCTCGGCTACCAGGAGGCAGGGGGGGAGGCGAAGGAAGAAAGGAAGGCGGGGCTCAAGCGTTCGCCTCCAGACGCCAGGCCAGGCCGCACCGTGCTTAAGCATGGGCGGGCACGCCCCGCTTGCAGCAGTTGGGGCCCACCCCAGGACCGAGCCTATTTGCGACCACGTCGCTTCGTCCTCTCCATCGTCCCGCGCCCATCCTCTTAATCATCCTCCCTCATCCTCCCTCGTCCCATTTGTGCTCATCCCTCCTTTTGCTGCATATTTTCCTCCTCCTCCTCCTGCTGCCTCTCTTCCTTCTCCATCTCCGTCCCCCTGCTGCTCCTCCCTGTCTTCCATTCCCTCCTCCACACCTCTGGGCCTTCTTGGGACCTTATCGGGGCTGTCCTAGACAGTCTTGGGCTTTTGTTTGGTTGTCTTGGAGCCCCATCGGGCTGTCCTGAGCCCTTCGAGGCAGTGCTGGGAGTTTCTTGAGGATGGCCTCCAGCCCTCTTGGCGCCCCCCCGTCCCTCTCCCCCCAGCCTCTCCTCCCGAGCAGGCGGGCCTTCCACGAGCAGGCCCGCGCTTGGCACCCGGACAAGTGCGACAGGCCGGAGGCCGCGGACCGGTTCCGCCTTGTACGCGAGGCCTTCGAGGCCTCCGCCCGGCCCCGCGGCAGGGAGGGGGGGAGGCGGTCGAGGTTCGCCATGAAGCCAGCGGGTCTCGAGGTTCCGTCGTGAGGGGACCGGGTCCTGGAGGTTTCTTGGCCGGTTGGGTTTCCCTGGCCCTCCCCACGCCCTGGGACCATCAAAAAATTAGCCTGAAGAGCCCAACCACACGCAGTTGTGAGTACCGCAGTTGTGGGTAATTACCGTCTTCCGTTGAGCTCCTTATGGGGCACACGAGACGCTGTACTGGGCGGGGGAGACGTACGCGAACTTTGACATTGGGCCTTCAGTGGAGACCCCATGGGGCCATGAGGCCGCGAAGCGCTGTATTGGGTAGGGGAGACGCTTGCGAACTGCGCCACTGGAGCCTTCGGTGGAGCTCCCTCTTGGGGCCACGAAACGCTGTATTGGGTGGGGAGACGCATGCGAAACTGCGCCACTGGGACCTCCGGAGGAGCTCCCCATGGGGCCACGAAGCCGTTGTACTGGGTGTGGGAGACGCATGCGAACTGCGCCACTGGGACATTCGGCGGAGCTCCCTATGGGGCCACGAAGCGCTGTACTGGCCGGGGGAGACGCATGCGAATTGCGCCACTGGGACCTTCGGTGGAGCTCCCTCTGGGGCCAGGAAACATTGTACTGGGTCGGGGAGACGCATGCGAACTGCGCCACTGGGACTTTCGGTGGAGCTCCCTCTGGGACCACGAAGGTCGTGCTGGGTGGGGAGACGCATGCGAAACTGCGCCCCTGGGACCTTCGGTGGAGCTCCACATTGGGCCACGAAGCGTTGCACTGGGCGGGGGAAGCGCCTGCGAAACTGCGCCACTGGGACTTTCGGTGGAGTTCTCTATGTGGCCACGAGCCGTTGTACTGGGTGTGGGAGAGGCATGAACTGCGCCACTGGGACATTCGGTGGAGCTCCCTATGGGGCCACGAAGCGCTGTACTGGCCGGGGGAGACGCATGCGAATTGCGCCACTGGGACCTTCGGTGGAGTTCCTTATGGGGCTACGAAGCGTTGTAATGCGGGGGAGACGCTTGCGAACTGCGCCACTGGGACCTTCGGTGGAGCTCCGTATGGGGCCACAAAGCGCTGCAATGGGTGGGAGAAGCGCATGCGAACTGCGCCACTGGGACTTTCGGTGGAGCTCCCCATGGGGCCACGAAGCGCTGTACTGGGTGGGGGGGACGCATACATTGCGCCACTGGGACCTTCGGTGAAGCTCCCTACGGAACCACGAAGCGCTGTACTGGCTGGGGGAGACGCATGCGAGATTCCCCCCATGGGACCTTCGGTGGAGCTCCCTCTGTGGCCACGAAGTGCTGTACTGGGTGGTGGAGACGCATGCGAACTGCGCCACTGGGACCTTCGGTGGAGCTCCTTATGGGGCCAGGAAACTTTGTACTGGGTCGGGGAGACGCATGCGAACTGCGCCACTGAGACTTTCGGTGGAGCTCCCTTGGGGACCACGAAAGGTCGTGCTGGGTGGGGGAGACGCATGCGAAACTGCGCCACTGGGACCTTCGGTGGAGTTCCCTATGGGGCCACAAAGCGTTGCACTGGGCGGGGGAGACGCATGCGAAGCGCGCCACTGGAACCTTCGGTGGAGTTCCTTATGGGGTCACGAAGCGCTGTACTGGGTAGGGGAGACGCATGCGAACTGCGCCACTGGAGCCTTCGGTGGAGCTCCCTCTTGGGGCCACGAAACGCTGTATTGGGTGGGGGAGACGCATGCGAAACTGCGCCACTGGGACCTCCGGAGGAGCCCCCTATGGCAATGGGGGCAGGAAGCGCTGTACTGGGTGGGGGAGACGCATGCGAACTGCGCCACTGGGACATTCGGTGGAGCCCCCTCTGGGGCCACGAAGCGCTGTACTGGGTGGGGGACATGCGTGCGGACTGCGCCACTGAAACCTTCGGTGGGTCTCCTTCTGGGGCCATGAAACGCTGTATTGGGTGGCGGAAGCGCATGCGAACTGCGCCACTGGGACCTTCGGTGGAGCTCCCTATGGGGCCACGAAGCGCAGTGCCGGGTGATGATGATGATGATGATGATGATGATGATGATGATGATGATGATGATGATGATGATGATGATGATGATGATGATGCTGATGATGATGATGATGATGATGATGATGATGATGATGATGATGATGATGATGATGATGGATGATGATGATGATGATGATGATGATGATGATGATGATGATGATGATGATGATGATGATGATGATGCTGATGCTGATGATGATGATGCGATGATGCTGATTGATGATGATGATGATGATGATGATGATGATGATGATGATGATGATGATGATGATGATGATGATGATGATGATGATGATGATGATGATGATGATGATGATGATGATGATGATGATGATGATGATGATGATGATGATGATGATGATGATGATGATGATGATGATGATGATGATGATGATGATGATGATGATGATGATGATGATGATGATGATGATGATGATGATGATGATGATGATGATGATGATGATGATGATGATGATGATGATGATGATGATGATGATGATGATGATGATGATGATGATGATGATGATGATGATGACGACGACGACGACGACGACGACGAGAGCATGTGGAGGGCAGAGAGGGACGGGATGAGGCAGGAGGGCAATGAGGAAGGAAAGAGGAGACGCGGGGCGCTGTCTCTTCAAAACGAGGACCCAACACCACAGGATGGTTGGGAATTGGTCGGGATTCAGGGTGAGAAGCTGGACCTTGGGGAAAGCTCGGGATCTAGGACCCGTTTCTTTCATGCCAAGAGGGGCGGTCAGGGCGAGAAAAGCAGGGAGCGGGAGGGAGTGGAGGGGGGAGAGGGGGTTAGGAGGAGGCGGACGAAGGGGGGGTAATTAAGGAGGATACGGGAGCGGGAAGGGAGAATGGACTGGGAGGGCGAGGGGGGAGGGGCGACAACGACGAGGAAACAATCGGATCCAGAAGTCTGGCCCGCGCTGGGTCGGGAGCGTCAGTTTGAACGACGGGAGCAAAGTGCCGATCACGAAATGGGGCCACGGCTGCAGCGGAAGGACCACGTTGAGAAACAAACGCGCCGATAGGGGAACAAATGGTGGAACGGGGCTTTCTCTCCATTTTTACGGGCACGTTGCCTGCAAGGCGTGCCTTTCCGTTGGTGACCTCGTGAATTGCTGGCTTCATGCTTCTTGCTTGCGAGAAAGGTAAGCGGGAGAGGCGGCGCCCCGTTCGCTCAACAACCTGGGAGAGGAGAGCAGCATTCATATTGTGGGTACCTTCGCAGGAGGACATTGGGGAGGGGCAGGGGTTGGGGCGGGGCAGGGGTCGGGGCGGGGAGGGGGGAGACGCCCACCCAGGTCCCACCTGGTGCGCGGCGTGGCCGACGGTGTGAAGAGGTAGGATTTCATTCGTACGGTCAGGGAAACCGGGTGCCTGGGGAAATGACTTGTCTTTTGGGAAAACACGTTGCGGAGAAATGCGACCCAGATATTTGGGTCCTCCACCAGACATTGATGTTGAGGGCAAGTTCGAATAGGCTCTGATGTTCCCGTTTCTCCTTCGGCCCTTCCACAGAATGTGAATGGTCGCCCAGCGCCCAGTCTAAGATCCCGTTCTTCCTCGTCCTCCTCCTCCTCCTCCTCGTCCTCCTATTTTCCCTCCTTGTCCTCTTTCTCGTCCTCCTCCTCCTGTTTCCACTCCTTTCTCCTGCTCTCCCTCTCAAGTTGCCCGCTTGCCGTGGCACCGCGCGGTCGGCCGCTGAAGTCGCTGCGAGGCCCAGAGCGGGCTTCTGTTGACTGGCAGCATATATTCCAAATTTCTTTTTGTCTCATGAGTTCTCACTTGTTTTCGAATCGTGGGGGGGGGTGCGATACCTGTGCCGGTGGCGTTTCTCCGGGTTCTTTGGTCCTTTTTTTTGCAGAGGTGTTCTTCGGGGTTCTCTGGCACGTTTTCCATAGAGTGGCGCTCCTCAGGCTTCCTTGGTCTTGTGTTTCCTGTACACTGGCGTTCTTTGGGATTCCTTGATTTGGTTTCCTGTCAATGGTTATACCTTTTCCAGTGACCCTGTTTTACAATGGTTTCGTCACTTTCCATACAATGGTAATGTCTTTTTCCTCCGGGGATGCTCGGTTATGTTTTGTTTCTGGTGACCTTCCCTGGGGGTTCGAAGTTTTGTTTCTTGACAGTGGCCGTCCCCAGGGTTGGTTGGTTTTGTTTCCTTCCTGCATTCCCCGTCTTGCTTGGTTGTGTGTCCCAGTAATGCCAAGCAAAGCAAAAGAACGCCAAGCAATGCCAAGTCACCCCAAGCAATGCCACGCCTCGCCAAGCAATGCAAAACAATGCAAATGAACGCCAAGCAATACCAAACCACGCCAAGCAATGCAAAGCTCTGCAACTCAATGCAAAGCGACGCCGTTCAATGCCAAGCAACGCCAAGCATCCCCAAGCAACGCGAAGCACTGCCAAGCAACGCCAAAAGCCACACCAAGCAAGGCGCCCATACGATAGGAATATTCGCCCTAGTTTGGGTCGCGCGCGCCGGGTTCATTCTGCCAAAAGGCACTTTCGACGGGCTTCCGCCTCGGCCGCCCCTCACTCTAATCCGCGTCAGCGGGGCTGCTGTTCTCTTCGCCCCCTCTTTCAGGCCTGCCTAGGATGAGGAGACAAGGTAGACCGCTCCAGCGTGCTCGCAGAGCGGTCCAGGGCGCCCTGGAATGCCGCGGCGCCAGCACATCGTCCAAACCCATTAGTTCTCAGAGATGTCCGAATCATCTCAACCCTACTTGATCTCTATCGTGCCCTCGTCTTCGACCATGGTGGTGATGATGGTGATGATGATGATGTTGCTGCTGATTATTATGAGGATGCTTATACTGATGTTTGTAATGATGGTAATGATGGTAATCATGGTGAGGGTGGTGATTGTGATGATGATTATGCTGATGATAATCAGGATGATTATGATGGTGGTGGTGATGATGACCATCATCATCGAGCCATCGGGTTCATGCTTGCTGCCCGGCTTTTTGGGTTGTCGACGCAGTTGCGTCTGCTGCCATGGGTCGTCTCGCATCCGATATTTGAAAAGACTTCTGGATGCTGGCGTCAATCTGTTTGTTTCGGTTGGTGCTGACCCGACGACTGGAGTGGGAAAGGTCAAGGCGATTTACCGTGTGGGTCTTTTCGGCGGCGTGGGCACGACGACCCATGGCTGGGGCATTGCGGCGATCTATGGTCTTTTGCCTTTGCGACCCGTGCGCGTCCTCCTTTTTAAAGCACCTCGGCAGTGTCTTCCATCTTGTGGTGTTGGCGTTCTCTTGCTCCCCCTCCCTTGCTACTTGCTTCGGCCTGCCTTGGCCCTTTTTTGGGCTGCGGACCATTCAACGCTGTGGCTATGCTATCATCCTTCGTGTGTCTATCTCGTCCAATGAGAGTTCCGTGGTCGACGTTTCAAGACAAATTTTGACAAAGCGAGAAAAACAACAAATCACCACAATCATCATCATCATCATCATCATCATCATCATCATCATCATCATCATCACCATCACCATCACCATCACCATCACCATCACCATCACCATCACCATCACCATCATCCTCACCACCACCACCACCACCACCACCACCACCATCATCATCATCATCATCATCATCATCATCATCATCATCGTCGTCATCGTCATCGTCATCGTCATCATCATCACCATTATCATCAGCAGCAGCACCACCATCATCAGCACCATGTATCCAGCGTCATCTCCTCGTCAGTGTCTAAACCCTGCTTGATCTTTACCCTGCCCTCGTCTTCGCGGGCACGCGCCCCCGGAGGTCCTGTCGGACCACCGGCAGCGCGGCGACCATGACGCCGCGCTCCGCCGGCGGCGGGCTCCCGCCCAGCCGTTCTTCTCAGACTTGCCGCGGCCGCGGGCGCCAGCTCAGAAGGCCGCTTCCGCCGCTCCTCGGCTCCTCCCCCCTCTGCTCTGCTCCTCCTCCCCCCTCCTGCTCCTTGTCCCCCATCGGCTTCTCCGCCACTGTGCCCCTCCACCCCCCTCTGCTCCTCCTCCCCCCTCTGCTCGGAAGGCCGCTTCAGCATTTTTTCATCACGCGCGCCGGGGGGTCGTCACGGGCGCCGCCAAGGGGATCATGTACCCCCTTGCATGGCAGCCTCAAACGAGTGCCTTTCGTATAGAAGTTGTTTTAGGGATCGTAAACATCCGAGGCGAAGTTTCCCCCCCCCTTCCCAGGCTGATTATTGACGTGCCACAGTCGTCGTCGTTGTTGACGTCGTCGTCGTCCTCGTCGTCGTCGTCGTCCTCGTCGTCTCCGTCATCGCCGTCGTCGCCGTCGCCGTCGTCGTCGCGCCGTCGTCGTCATCGTCGTTGTCGTCGTCGTCGCCGCCGTCGTCGGCTGCAGCGGGACTTGCAGCCCAACGCCCCTCTCTGGGGCATCCGCAGTGCGTCGGTCGTCCGCCGTCGTCGTCCTCGTCCTTGTCCTCGTCCTTGTTTTCGTTCGCGCCGCCGCCACCGCCGCCGCCGCCGCCGTCGTCGTCGACGACGACGACGACGACTACAGCGGGCATGCGCAGCACCCCCGTCCCCCCCCCCAGGAACATCCGCAGTGAGTCGTCGTCCGCCGTCGTCGCCGTCGCAGGACTTCTTGTGGTGGAGGGGGTGGGTGGGAGAAGGCGAGCGAGGAACGTTGTCCGCCTGCCTCTGTACTTCCTCTCCTTTTTTCCTTTCTCTGTTTGTGGCCATGCCTCTGCCTTCCCCCCTCTGTAATTAAAGCTGTGCGCGGCCCGCTTAGCTTCGACCAGAAGAGGTGCGCTCTCGACCCGCGGATCAAAAACATTGCAGCCATGTCGGCACCGCACGCCAGCTGAGGCGCCTCCTCCCCCCGCCTTTTCTTTGTATCCTGCCTGTGGCCATTTTGGCCCTACCGCCCCGCTTTCGCGGAGGCGCTGCTGCCCCTTCGCCTGGCACGGCGCCGCTTGCGTCGCGCCGCGTCTGTCGCCCTCCAGCTGTCGGCCGCGTGTTTGCGCCAACCACCGACGCCGCTACCGCGCGTTACCATTTGGCGGGCGCCCCGCCCGCGATTCGCCCGAACACGGGGGCCATGTTGCTAATCATGCGCCCCGTTTGATTCTGTTAATCACAAGTGACTTTGTTACATTGTGATTGGCGGCTGTCGTCGTCGTCGCGTCTTACCCCCGCCATCCTCATCCTCGTCCTCCTCCTCCCCCTCCTCCTCCCGTTCCGTAGCCATTCTTGCTCAAGGAAACAATGTTTCGAGGCTGTTGGCCGGTCAGCTCTGTTGTTTTTCCACGTCCCATGCCCGCTAGAGCTGCCCAGCCAGCGGTGCCGCTCCATATCAAAACAACGAAGCTCAGTTTGTCGCAGTACATCATGCAACGAATTCTTTACGCTTCGCGTATCCCCACCAGCCCATCTCACAGCAGCAACTCTTGCGAAGCATGCCGACAGTCGTGTTTTTCAGGCGTGCGTCCGCTTGGCCCCGCATATCTCCCCTGTTCCTCCTTCCTCCCGCCTCCTTGTACATCCTCCTTGTGGGGGGAGCGGGAGAAGGACGAGGCGGAGGAGGAGGGAGAGAAAGCGCTCCTCGTGATTTGAGTCGTTTGGGGTTTCTCGTCCTGGTGTGAGTCGTTCGGGCCCTTCTTCCTGGTGTGAGTCGTTCGGGCTCTTCGTGGTGTGAGTCGTTCGGGCTCTTCGTCCTGGTGTGAGTCGTTCGGGCTTCTCGTGGTGTGAGTTGTTCGGGCCCCTCATCCTGGTGTGAGTCGTTCGGGCCCCTCCTCCTGGTGTGACTCGTTCGGGCTCCTCGTGGTGTGAGTCGTTCGGGGCCCGCGTCGTGGTGTGAGTCGTTCGGGCTCCTCGTGGTGTGAGTCGTTCGGGCGCCTCGTCCTGGTGTGAGTCGTTCGGGCCCCTCCTTGTGGTGTGAGTCGTTCGGGCTCTTCGTGGTGTGAGTCGTTCGGGCCCCTCGTCCTGGTGTGAGTCGTTCGGGCTCCTCGTGGGGCCTCCTGGGGGCCTCTTGGAGCCTCTTGGGTCCTCTTGGGGGCCTCTTGGGGGCCTCTTGGGAGCCTCTTGGGGGCTTTTTGGGGGCCTCTTGAGGCCTCTTGGGGGCCTCTTGGGGGCCTCTTGGGGGCCTCTTGGGGCCTCTTGGGGGCCTCTTGGGGGCCTCTTGGAGGCCTCTTGGGAGCCTCCTGGGGGCCTCTTGGGGCCATCTGGGGGCCTCTTGCGACCTCCTCAGAAGCGCAAGTGAGCGTTGCCCCCTGAGAAGGACAAAATGAGCCCAAAACCTTCGTAAAATCAATGATTTTGCTATGAAGGACGAGGAGCGCTGCCCCCTCAGAAGGCCAAAATGGGGCCCAAACCCTAGTAAAATCAATGTTTTTGGCTTCGCAGAAGAGGAGAGGGTTTTTTCTCCGGCTCCCCGTCGGGGCCAGAATCCTCGTGAGGGCCGTCGTTTTTTTTAGCCCTCCCAGGAATCGAAATTGACCACCCTGACGACCCGCGGGGCGCCCTCTCCAGGCCCAGGGGGAGGGGGTAGGGGTGGGGTAAACCCCTCCCCGAAGGGGAAGAAGGGGGGTTGAGGACAGAGGGGGCTCGCTAAACCACTCACGCCCAAAGGGCTGGTTGGATTCAATCGCAGGTGGTTTGGTTGGCTCTTTTTGCTCGCCTGGCATCGGACAGGCAGTACGTGGCGCCAGTTTCCTGAACGATATCGCATGCACTCAGACAGTTCACCTCCTCGAAGTGATTCCCAAAACCGCAGGCAAACCAGTGACCGACGAGACCGTCGTGATCGACGGAGGGCCGACCACCGCGACCGCTGAGATCGAGACGGGGGCCGAGATCGTGATAGACTTTGCGACGTGATCGAGATATACGCCAGTCTTTTTCGTCTTCCGAAGGTGCCATACACGCACTTCACAGACACAGCGGACAATTGACATGTTTTTTGTTCGCACGAGGCGCCCACGGGCCACCTTCAGAATTCTATTAAACCGCTTCCCAAGCATGATGGCAACGAGCTCAGCTGGCAGAGCTGGCTGCGAACCCAAATGCTTCTTCTCAGGAGCCAGCTGCCTGGCTGGCACACCAGGCGCAACACGGATTGCAATCATCACAACATTAACAACAACACTGGCACGCACACCAAGCAGCTCAAGCAGTTCAACAGCGGTTTCTTATTACCGAAACTGTCGGTGCCACATCCGCCAGCGATCTCCCACTGGCTTCGGTTCCAGTGGCAAGTGCAGCAGTTGGACGTACTGCCACACCTTCGGGGGGACAAACAGTATAACCTACTGCAGCACCTTGGCCGCCGTGTAACCTGGCATCAGACGTCCAGCACGAGCTCAATCAGACTATGGTTCCACAGGTCGCAAGTATTAGCGCCGCCGCCGGAGACACCTGTACAGTTACACAGAGTCAGTTCTTTGCCGCAGTTCAAAGACACGAAACTGCCACTACTCGACGATTGGATGGACAATAGCGTGGTCTCATGGCCATCAAGACAGCTCAAGCCCGACAGGAAGCACACCATCAAGAAGTCTGGCGCACCCTCAAGAGCAGCAGAAGCGCCTCTGTAGGACATGGCCAAGCTCTCAGACTGGGATAGAGCTCCAGGTCCGTCCATGTGCATTCGCACATGCGCTCAGCCTGTCGCCGCAGCTGCAGTGCGCACGTCCATCACAGAATGGCTGGACGCAGCAGAAGTCACGGCAGCTCAATATCAGAACCACGGAGAAGGCCCCAATCGCCACTTCATCATTCAACTACTTTGGAGGCCGCACAGTGGCAATCGCCAAATCAGTGACGCTCGTTCGGGCACTTCAGTCACCAGGTCGTGGAGGCTACCGACAGTTCACGGTTCAGACGGTTGCTGACTGCGTCGTCAGCAATGGCCAGCGCGACCCGTTGCGCGTCGGTCCAGACGAGAACATCAAGCGTACACGGATGGAAACTCAAACCAAGAAGCTCCTTGCATTATGCAAGACACATTAGCCAGGGCACAGTTGGCGCGCCCGTGGAGATCAAGGGCTCTGCGCCGCTATCCCCGCCGCCAAACTGGAGCTCCCCAGCGTGCGCGCGGCTGCGGCCATTCGTTGGGGGCAGCATGCGCTGGCCAAGGTTGCTATCAACGAGGCCACAATCGCCGCAGAATTTGCCGCTCTCGACAAGGCTGATGACACAGCGCAGTGGCATTCACAAGCGCTGGTTGCCGTGGCGATCTACGCAGACCGACGCAGTCCATGCAATATTTCTTGGCCGCGATGACCTCGAGACACCTCACCTGCGCCATCTACGACATCTCCAGCCAGTGCCTGCGCTTGATCAACCACCCCGCGAACTCGAAGCGCGGCCGCGGGATGCCCGACAATATCCACGGGGTCCCAGACAAGCCCCACTGCATCGACGACCCCATCGTGAACCTGATGCACCGCGTCAACATGCCCAGGGGGATCGGGGCGCCCCAGTTGCCCCGGAGGGTTCTGGAGAGCCCCCCAGATATTGTTTGAGTCGACCAGGGCATGGTGAGCCACGCGACCTCGCTGCACCGCGCCCCCTTGCCCACTTTGGATCCCTGTTGCCCCTGAGGGGCTGGCGAGCCCTCCAGATATTACTTCAGCCTCTGGAGGCATGGGGGGCCCGCGTGCTCTCGCTGCGCAGCGCCCACTTGCTCAGGGGCGTCAGCGCTTCCCGGATGTCCCCGAGGGGCCAGCGCGCCCTCCAGGTGATACTTCAGTTCTCCAGGGCGAAGATCAGACAGCTCGCGCCCGTCCTGAAGCAGTGCAGAAAAACAAGCATTGGTGATATTGCAAGAAGCTCACGGGTCGCAGGTCAAACTTGAATCGCACATCGGCAAGCCCCCATGCAACTACGTCGTCGTCTTCAGCGGCTGCCCCCACAATCGGGGCAAAGGTG